CTAGATTTTCATAATATTCTTATATTACTGATTTAATTTCATCAGGTTCTCTTGTGTTGTCATCTTTTTCATTTTTTATTCAATTTATTTGTGTCTTCTTTTGTTAAGTTTGCCAATGCTTTGTCTATTTTACTGACTGTCTTTGAAGAAACAACTTCTGGCCTCGTTGATTGTTTCAATTGTTTTTGTGTCTTCCATCTCATCAATTTTAGCTCTTGTCAGGACAGGAGAGAAGATTAGCATATAAAAATCAATTGGATTCCTCACAGCAACAGAAAAAGCACAAGTAAAGTTACAAGAGAAGCCATAACATTTATAATGGCCAATTGGAAGATTAATTACTTAGGGAAATAAACCTAACTAGATAATGAAAGTTCCTTATGACTGGGGGCAACATCATTATAGATGGAGATAAGATTGAAACTGTCAAGATATCATCTTAGACAATCATACCCTTGGTACCAACAGTCAGGAGATGATGATGAGATGTATTGCTTTGGGCAAGTTCACTGTCAGGCACCTCTCCAAAATACTAAAGAACTGTGATGTTAATTTGAAGACTATAGTGTACCTGATTCAGTCTATGGTCTTTTCTACTACTTACTATGCATCTGAGAGCTGGACAGTGAATAAAGATGACAGAAGAATTGATACATTTGAGTTGTAGTGTTGGAGAAGATTAGTTAATATCCTGTTGTCTGCCAGAATAAACCACTATTCTTGACTTGGCCAAACTAGAAAAAACAATTTTAAGTTAGAGAAAAGAAGACTCCAAATAAGCAAAGCTCTTTTGAAAGATAGAAATGAAGTATAAGACATTACCCTCTCTGAACTAAAAACCTACTGCACAGCTGTGGTAAGCAAAACAGTATGGTATTGGTGGTGCAATGCCAGACACATTGGCCAAGTCAAGAATAGAGTCAAGAACCAAAAAAATCAACCTATATGTTTACAATTAATTGATAAACCACTCAAAGTAGATAGAAACCTAGGTGTAAAAGCAAAAACCATAAACATTAGCAGAGAAAAAATGGGTATAAATTTAGGAGGCAGCTATCTTGAACATGTTTTACGATAACCATGTGGCCTGAAGGAAAGATGCCATCTTGAACCTGTCACATGACCAAACCTGTCATGACATGACCTGTCAGCATGTCTCATGATGACCTCATGGCCCAAATTGAGGCTGCCATCTTGATTACCCAGGCATACTTGCTACTTGACTTTGGCAGCAGCCATTTTTAAATACTTCCTCACTTGTTCAGTTGTCTTAATTTCTTATTATAAACATGTCCTTTGATTCTCTTAATCCTGTACTTTTATTAGTAAAAGTCAAACCTCCATTTTCTCCAATGAACTTCCTGCTTTATTTGCAAAGAAAAGCATGGACTTCTCCCCTGCCATTGCCACTCTGCCAGAGGAAGAACCTAAAGAATGCACGCAAGTTTCCTTGGCAACCATATCCAGAAAAAGACACATTATCTTCCTTTTTAAGGAAATTAAAAATTAGTCACTCACCCCAACCCATTCCAACAAACATGTTTCCCTACCATGCAAAAGAGCAGAGATAAAAGGGAACAGAATTCTTTACTCTATGGTGGAGGTCAAACAAAATGAACTTTCTCTACTCTTGTCTGCCATGCACCTTAAACTAACAAGAGTTGGTGCATTTTCTCATCCACCATTTAGGTCTTTTCATCTACCCTAATGGTGGTGAAGGAATCGTCCTTTCTTAGTGGTGCTCAGGTCCCCTTGAGTGATCCTGGAGGCCTTTGTAAGTAATCCCAGTTTGGGATACCAGTTGTTAGTTAAAATAAAATGAACTCATTATTGATAGAATTTCTACGTCACAGATAAAATATGGACAATCCAGAAATACCACAGAAATGAGCTGATCTCAAACTACACCTACAAGATAAGAAAAAGGTGCCAAGAGAATACTGCCCAACCAAGGCTTTCTCATGTGATCTCCTGAACTCACCAACAATCTCTGTATGTAAATCCCCCCACTAACAGCAAGAGTTGCTGACCTCTAATCTGAGAATTAAGTCTGCTTGCACCCAAGTGATAGAAAACCAACTTATTGCTTCACACATAAGCCTTGTATGGTTGATTCAAGTACTACTGTTCTGACTCCAGATTCATTCCCTTTTCCTTCTCTTCTCTGAATCTTTTGCCAATTTTACCATGAGGTGAATGCCCTTGTTCAGCCTTCCTTACCTAGTCAAAGAATTGAACAGGATAGGAGACAGTAAAAAAGATAGGCCATGGAAGAACCTCCTGGTTTTGACCTGGTTATGTCTTGTTCAAAGCACATGGTTAGTTGTTAGAGCACAAAGTTGAGAAGAGAGGTGAGGAAATGAAGGAGAAAGCAAGGATAGATTTATTTTAAAAGATATATACCGTAGAATGAGACAATTTATTTCTGTGGAATTAAAGAGGTGGAGGAGAAAACATTGGGTCATGCGAGTTGTGCCTTATAAGTAGCTGGCTCCTCGTTTTGCTGTGTTTCTGGGCTTGAATCTGGGTCAATGGGATGGTGTCCTGGAGTCGGCAGTTCTGGTCCACTGTTTTTGTCATCACTCATGTGCCTAAAATATTAATTAGGCTCCTTCGGGTGAGGGAATCCTTAACTTTAGGCATGCTAGGGATGAGGCACTATGTCTCATGCTGTGTGTTTCTTGGTTTTGCTGACTCTTACATTTTACCAGACATGAGGTTATCCCTCCTTTATCTCATTTTCTCAACATTCTTCCTGTCCTGCCTATCCTTATTTTTGACCTGAGTTTGCCTGATTCTGACCCTAACAAGACCATGTAATCTTTTTCCCTTCAAAAATGGTTTATTTTACTCAGAATGGTTTTTTTGTTGAGGTTCATCTGTCAGAGGATATATTTTTTAATATGCTTTGATTTGTAAGTAACATATTTAATGTATGATATAATCATCCACAGATAAGCATTTTTATTTCTACCCAGCAAGCATTGGCCAAGTTCTATAGGTGAAATGAGCTGAGAAAAAATAGATAATGTATCTGTCTGGATAGGACCTTAAATAATATATTTAGGGGGCATGGGGAGCTTTCTCATTGACCAGACTTTCTTGGACTTACTTGCTCTCATATTAAATACTTTACACTATCTACCAGTTGATCTCAAAGACACTTTTGTTTCCCTGCTCAGAGTAGTTGCAGAAAGCATCCTTATACTGCCTAGAATAAATGACTGGGACTATTACTGTTTAATAGTTGTGTGCCCTTGAGAAACTTGCTTATCTGGTCTGTTTTCTAAAACCTGGAAATGATGATGGTAATACCAGGTTCATTAGGTTGTGACAATAATTTAATTACCATTTTCAAATGCTTAGAAGAGCAGTACCCAGTGCAAAGTAAATTGTTATAATAAAATAAAATATTAGTTGCTCAGATATATATGAATACATATGTAAATATGCATAAATATGTGTAGAGAGGGAGAGAGTAAATAATCTATTTTTAAAGTCACTTGGCTAGTGCAAGCCCTCAGGAATATGTGATTGGAGGCCTGCAGCTTGACTTCACTCTCTGTGCCCTGTGCACTCTGTAATGGGAGCTCAGGCTTGATACCAGGTGGGCACTGTGCAGTGGTCTTCCTCTGCCCTCTGGTACTTTACACATGAGTGAATAATAACAGAAAATAGTATTAGAACAGAGAGAATCAGCTTTGCACAGGAAACTTGGGGAATGTTGTCTACTGTATTCTTTCTGCAATTGGGACAAACTTGAGCAAACAAAATTAGTTTGGTACTTTAGAAAATATGAAAATTGCTACTGACCCCAAGTCTCCTTTATCCAACATAATAAAAATCAGTGGCGTTCTTGCAGAATTCCGGGACTTGTTGGTAAGTCTTGTTATGGTGATAGTTGCTGATCAAGATGGCACTAGATCATCCTTCAGAACCTGAAGAACTAATTAGTGAAGAAGCTTATGAAAAAGATATAAAATTTGTTATGAAGTGAAAATGGAATCCCTAAATAAATGCAGCAACTTATCTTAGCATATTTGTCTTCAATTAGTAAGGGGTAGAATTAAAACTGCTTTTATCAAAACACAGTGAAAAGCAGAAACTACTTGTTACAATTATGCTATTGGAATAAAGTACCTTTTAATTCTCTAATGAGTACAAATAAACCAAATATATGTCTATTTCAAAATGCCCTATGATTTTAGGTTAGAATCTAGCTATACTAGCTAGAATTTATTAATTTATCTGTGATAAGACTAGTTATAAAAAGTATATAATTCAAGGTAACGTTGTTATCTTTAAACCAAATATAACTTACCTTTTACTGACATCCATACCTGGATTTGGGTCAGCATTCCCAGCGAGCTTTCCACTGAGAATGGCTTGGGAATGGAGATAAGTCTTTATTAGTTGTACAGTGTTACCTAAAAAAACAATATGGCATTAATTTTTCCATGTGCTGCATTTGCTGATACTATTTTATACAACATCCTTGCAGTAAAATAATAATAATAAAATATTTCCCTTCAATAATTAAAAATCATTTTGCTGTTATGGTCTCCCAAGTATGTGGGTTCAGAAACTATCAAACTAAGTCCCATAAGCTGAATTTAGTCTGCTGCTTATTTGTTTGTTTTTCTTTTAATAAAGTTTTATTGAAACACACATCTATTTGTGTATGCATTTTCCTATAGCTGTTTTTGAGCTATACTCACCAAGTTTGGGTAGCTGTGACAGACTGTGTCTCCCAGAGCTTCAAGATATTCTCAGAAAATCTTGTCCAACCCGTTAAAAATAATTTTGTACTGTACTTAAAAGCATTTTTGTACTGTTCTAAAAGCTTTTCCCATCTTTATGTTTGCCTCTAGAGCTTCTCAAGTTGACAGGTGCCAGGCTTTCTGGGAGCTCATCTATGCAAGATCCAGAGAACATTTTTTGCTGTGAATGTAGTGAAATAGTCTTTCCTCTCACATATTTCTTCTGCTTTCTGACTCCAGTGGAATTTTCCCAGTGCCATGATCACCCGGAAGGTGGGGGCTGCCCTGGCAGCCGGTTGCACTGTGGTGGTGAAACCTGCCGAAGATACGCCTTTATCTGCCCTGGCACTGGCTGAGGTGAGTCATCAAGAAGCCATTTTCCTGCCACCTTCTAATGGGTTGGGAATATAGTTAGACAGAAGTTGCTTTTTTTTTTTTATTTTATTATTTTTATTTTTATTTTTTTATTTATTTTTTAAGAATTTTTTTAATTTTTATTTTATTATTTGTGTGTGTGTATGTGTACCGTCAAATCAAATCTGACTGGTACAGGAGGAGATTGTCCCTCCTTTCCCGGCAGAGCATCTGGTGGATTCGAACCGTGCTCCTCTGGGATTGCAGTGCAGCTTCTTGCCACTAGGCCACCAGAGCTCCCCTAGAAGTTGCTTTTTTTTTAATATAAAAAAACTTGTTAAGAAGGTTGTTTGACAGCTGTCGACAGTGTATTTTTGTTGTTGTTGTTTTTAGGTGTCATCAAGTCAACTATAACTCATAGCAACCCTGTGGAAAACCGATATGAACCATCCTCACCATCTCTGACAGGCTCAAGTCCATTGTTACAGTCACTATATCAATACTTCTGTTGAAGATCATCCTGTCTTTGGCTGACCCTCAACTTTCCCAGCATGATGTCTTTTTTCAAGGACTAGATTCTTATAATAATTATATCCAAAGTATGTGAGACATAGTTTCACCATCTTTGTTTCCAGGGAGCACCCTAGCTGCACTTCCTCCAAGATAGATGGCAGCCTACAGGATATCCAGTACTCTTCTCCAATACCACAAGTTCAAAAGCATCAACTCTTAGTCTGTGATCCTTACTCACTGTCCGACTTTCAGATGTCTGTGTAGTAATTGAAAAGACCATGGCTTGGGTTAGATGCACCATAAGTCTTTAAACTGCTATTATTGCTCTTACTTTGGAGAAGTCTTTGACAGTAGATTTTTTCCCCATTGTAACACATTTTGTGATTTCTTGACTGCTGGTACCATGGGTGTTGATTGTAGATTCAAGAAATACTAAATCATTGACAACTTCAGTCTTTTTTCTATCACCATATTGCTCATTGGTCCAGTGGTGAGGATTTTTGTTTTCTTGATGTTAAGATGTAAGCCATATTAAGGCTATATCATCTTTGATCTTCTACAACATGTACTTCAGGTCCTTTTCACTGTCAGCAAGCAAGGCTGTATCATTTTCATAGTTCAGGATGAGTTTTCCTCAAATCCTGGTACCACGTTCTCCTTCATATAGTCCAGTTTCTCTTTAGGCTACCCTAAATGATAAAACTTTAAATACATAGGCAGTCCTAAGAATGGGACTCAATGTGAAAGGGCATAATTGTTGTTGAATAATGTCCAGTCTGTATCAACCATAGCTGACCCTCCAGAGGCAGTAAATTGCCCAGGAGATTGCCCAGTTTTCTACTGTGAAGCAGCAGTACAATTGGTTGGTAGATGATTACTTACCACTAAGGCACGAGAACTCCCTTGATATCAATAGGTGAGGATCAGTTAATACTCATCTAGATTTTGTCATTCTTCTACTTAAAACAATATAAAAGATTTTTCCTTCTTATGTTACTCAAAGTAAAATACAGACTCACTACTTTAAGACTCAATAAGATAGCATGTCCTCACTGTGTCCTGACCTCATCTGTTACTGGTCCCCTGTTCATTTGCTCCACCATTCTGGCCTATTCTGCTTCTCTTCAGGCCTTTCCACATGTTATTCTCTGCATCTGAAAGCTCCACCTTCAGATAATCCTATGACTTGCTCTTTTTTTTCATGCTGCCACTCTATGATACCATCTAAGAGATGTTTTTCGTGTAATTTAGTAATTACAGCTTCATATTCTTGTACCTTTGATCCCCCATTTTACTTCCTTCTTGTTTTCCATAGTAATTGGCATCTAAAATACAGAGTATTTCCTTGTTTTGATAATTATCTGCTTCCACTTGTGTAAGCCCTGTGGACACAGGGACTTTTATCTGTTTTATCCACCGCTATTTTCTAGAATCAGCAGAACAGTAACTAGATATGTTGTTGTTGTTGTTGTTGTTGTTGATAGGGGCCCTAGAGCTCAGTTCAACTTATACCAACCCTATAAACACTGAATCTGAACCCTGTCCTGCCCTTTGCCAGCCTCATCATTTCTAATATACTTGTGCCTGTACAGTCAAAAGTTTCAGTCCATCTTGTTGAGGTTCTTTCTCTCTTTTACTGACCCTTTACTTTTCCAAGCGTGATAATCTGTTTTCTGAAGCCTGACCCTACCTAACAACAAGCCCAAAATATGTGAGATAAAGTTCCACTATCCGTGCCTCTAATGAGCACCCTGGTTGCATTTTTCTCCCAGACATAATTGTTTATTCTTTTGGCAGTCCATAGGATATTCAGTACTCTTCTCCAACACCACAACTCAAAGGCAAACTCAAACTTATTGCCTTCAAATCAGGACCAACTTATAGCTGATCTATTGGGGTTTGTTAAGTCTGTAAATTACATGCGAGAAGATTATCCCTCTTTCTTCCTCAGAGATGCTGATGTATTTGGCCAGCCTTTCGGTTAGCAGCACACTCCATAAGGACTAGGCTGCTATAGGTTCTTGGATACAGGGAGTACTCAATAAGTATTAACGGCTGCAACTGTGGAATTAAGCACAGTGGGAGTTGTGAGGATGATTCTGGGTTTCTGTGGTACAGGTGATCACTATGAGTGACAATAACAGTGAATATTTGTGGATGGGTGGAGGTGGAGAGAAGATAGAGCAAAGAGGGAGAAAGAAGTGAAACAACAAAGGAATTTATAGTTAAAACTATTCACTCATCAGGTTGGGTGTCAATAGCTAACCCATCATGCCAGCCTTTCCTCCTTTCAGAATACCCTTTTATTCTTAATTCCTTGGATTACTATTCTTTCTTTTGTTCTGTGATCAGTAAAAAGTTACCAAAACCGTAGAAATAACCGTCATGGCAGTCATTGTCTTGTGCTTGCTTTTCTCTACTCTCATGGACCCAGTGAGCTCCAGACTCAATGACTAGGCATGTTTGCCCTGCAGAGGTACTCTACTAAGTGTGCAAACTGAGTGGAAGGCTTTTTGAAAGCCTTCCTTATACTTCTCTGTACTTGAGCTTTTTCTTGTGTGATATATGAGCTAATATTTTTATTAGTGTCCTCTGATACATATAAAAATGTTCATTATGGTAAATTTCCTAGGAATTGTGATGGTGGCCTCATCTGTAGGGAGTTTCAAAGTTTACCCAAAAGGTACATGTCTCTGGTGGTTCAAATCTACTAGCAGCTCCAAGGGAGAAAGATGAGCATTCTCTTCTCATGAAATTTATAGCAAAACTCACTGGAGGGTCACCTATGAGTCTGTTCTGATTCTGTAGCAATGAATTTTATAGTGTTTAGGACCAGTAGTGCTCTATGACTGTTGGATTCCAGATGAATACAAAATGTAAGTGAATGTATACATCTGTATTGATTGGAAAAGTTAAGAGACCACGTTTCTTAAAACTTTAATGAACCAACAGAAAAGACTATTTTAAAGAGGGAAAACTGCCACATAGACCTCCAGAAAGTAACAGGTTCTTGCTGATGATCTAGAAACCCCAAGATTTCTCCACATGAAATAGAAATTCTCCATTCCTAAGCAAAGCAGTTAATCCTGTTTTGCCTTGTTCCTTCTTTTTCAAAGTACAGATTTATCGCTTTGTGAGTAAATGCATCACCTAGTCAGGAAACTGACCTCCATCACAGGGCCTCTGTATGCCTTGCCTGAATACTGTTGCTTACCTCAAAAAGGAACCTCAGTACTTAAGAGAGCAGAACAACTGCAGCAAGCCTCTAAAAAGAATAGGTAATAAGTTCTCTTAGACCAATCTCTGGTAAACTCCTGACTGAAAAATGCCACAGGAATCAAGAATTATAATAGGTTGTAGAGTTGAAAGTAGTAACTAATGAAAAGGAAGTTTATTAATTATTTACCAGTCTAGCTCTCACTGCCATTAGTAATGTCAGTGCAAACAAAAGAAAGTTTGTATTTTATTTATATTGCAATAGAATTGTCAACAGAACAATTTTCTTTCTCCCAAGGAACCATTGGGAGTTGCATGATTAACCCAAAGGCCATGCCTCTAGGGAGGTTTGAATCTACTAGTAGCTCCATGGGAGAAAGATGAGAAATCTTCTGTGAGATTCTCTCTTGAAAACAAGCTGGAGGGTAGTTCTGAGTTGGTTCTGACTCTATAGCAATTAGTTTGAGAAAAGATATATGTACATTAACTATGAAAGCAATTGCCATTTCAACGGTTTTAAATGTACAGTTCAGTGACATTAAATTACATTCACTATGTTGTACAATCATCACTAATATGTGTTTACACATTTTCTTTACTACACTTTCTTTTGAGTGTTCTAATCTGCAGCTTCCCCTCCATTCATCTTTTTTTTCTTTCTTTACTGTTTTCTTTTGAGAAAATACAGTATTGATACCTTAGAGGTTCCATAATCTGAATTTGGAATATCATACCCTGCTGATGTAGCTTATTGCATTCCTATAATTTTTTTTTAAGTTTTAGTCATTCATTGTTGCACATTTTTCCCTCCCTTGACATATTTCTGTCTACCACCCAAAACCATCACTTACTGACACAGAGTTAGTTCCAACGTGTTGCTGCTGTTGTTGTTGTTAGGTGCCATAAGGTCGAGTATGACTCAGTGACCCTATGAACAACTGATCTGAACTTGTCCTATCTTATGCCAATATTTCTTCTGTAATCCTTTTTCATTGTCCAGCTTTGAGAAGCATAGCAAATGATTGAAAAGACCATGGCCTGAATCAGGTGCCCCTTAGACCAACTCATAACAAGCCTCTATCAGGTTTCTAAGGGTATAAAGTTTTACAGTAGGAGACTGCTCATCATACTGTTAGGAACCCCTGACAGATTCAAACTGCCATTCTTTAAGTTATTGTTCCACACATCATATATATAACACCATCAGAGCACATTTCCTTAAAATTGGCAGCTGGATCTACAGGGTCATCAGGCTTGCATTTAATCCTTTTCTG